AAATATGCAAAGTCAAGAACTCCAAATTTAGTAAATAACAGAATTAAGACTGCCTATGCAGCCTTAATACAACCCTCGTGTATGTATTCATGAATCAGTCAAAAAAGCAAACAAAACGTTAGGAATAATTTAAAAAGGATAAAAAATAAGACAGAGAATATCTATTCACCTGATCCAGTAAATGCTACTATATAAGTCCCATGTTATTTCCACATCTTGAATACTGAGTGCAGATGTGGTCACCTCTTCTCAAAAAAGGATAACTTGGCATTGGAAAAAGCTCAGAAAAAAGCAACAAAAATGATTAGGGGTTTGGAATGGCTGTCATATGAAGAAAGATTAATAAAACGGGGACTTTTCAGCTTAGAAAAGAGGAGACTAAGGAGGGATATGATAGAGTTCTATGAAATCATGACTAGTGTGGAGAATGTAAATAAGGAAAACTTAATGGCTGTGTCTACATTGGCATCCCTTTCCAATGCTAATGAGACACTTCGGAATTGCAAATCTGTGGGGGATTTAAATATCCCCCACAGTATTCGCATTTACATGGCTGCCGCTTTTTTCCGGCTTGGGGATAAGCTGGAGAAAAGCGACAGTCTAGATGCGATTCTCCGGAAAATAAGCCCTTTTCCGGAGGATTTCTTATTCCTACTTTCAAGTGTCTAATCTGCATCCCTTTTCCGGAAAAGGGGTGCAGTGTAGACATAGCCAATTACTTGTTCCCATAACACAAGAACTAGGGTTCACAAAAAAAATCAGTGGGTAACAGGTTGAAAACAAACAAAAGTTTTTCTTCACACAATGCACAGTCAACCTAAGGAACTCCTTGCCAGAGGATGTTGTGAAGACTAGAATTTTAACAGTGTTCAAAAAAGAACTAGATAAATTAATGGAAGATAAGTAAATCAATGGCTACTAGCCAGCATGAGTAGGAATGGTGTCCCTAGTCTCTGTTAGTCAGAAGCTGGGAATGGGTGACAGAGTGGGATCACTTGATGATTATGTGTTCTGTTCTTTCCCTCTGGGGCAGGTGGCATTGGCCATTGTCAGAAGATCCAGTATGGCTGTTCTTATGTTTCATTCTTATGATGAGAGAGTCTTCAATTACGTGATCACACGCTACTTTTCCCTATGGGATCCCTGCCTTATTCAGAGCAGATGTAAGGCTGATAGGCACAATAGAACCTAGGAATTCTGGAGCTTAGTTCAGTAGCCTCTAATGCATGAGCTAAAAGCCAGCTGGCTTTCAGCTAAGGCTGTAGAGCAGACTCATTTTCCTCTCTATAAATGGTCTCAATGCTACTAGGTAGGACAGTCAACACTCCCCGAAAGTGTGTGGGTTATACACAGAATATGCAATGCTCGCTTAATGAACAGCTCTTTAATATTTTGTTTTTCAATAATGTGTGGTTCTATCTCTGATTTTACTACTACTAAACAATTTCCTGATGATTTTTGTATGGTGCATCATCTTCTATTGACTTCAGCTGCAGCTCTGATGTTCAGCACTCTGCAAATCAGACCTGCAGGAGTTCAAGTGAGAACACGAGGAAACTTAGTGTGCAGAATGTGAGAAAAGTTAGTGACCTCCTGTGAAAAGAATGCTTTAAGTTACTTGCCCAAATGTTCCATAAAAACTCTGTGGCAATGGCAATGCCACTACATAAATCCATGGGGGACCCCACTTTGAAACAGTTGTAACTCTCTCTCCCCATCTCTGGGTCTAGTCTCATAAGACTCCTTTCCTTACTTTCCCTCTCCCTGGGTCCTCCTTGTCTCTCTTTTGTATTCAGAACAGGTGGATTCCTGCTCCTTGGTGCTTTGGTTCCAGGTAGGAAGTAACTTGGAGTACACAATGTATTTTTCCCCTAGACTTATTCTTGGAAATGACAAAACCATTTTGACTGAAAAAAAGTCTGCCTCACGCAGACTTTTACCCACGATGTAAAATCATCTAAATGGTTAAAGTTTGCAAAGTTAGAAATAATGTAAGCCTGGATCTTATAACGGGAAGTGGTAGGCAAACTTTATAATAGGAAGCATTACAGTTCCTGCCTATTTTAGTCAATAAAGACATCTGAGGTGAAATCCTTGAAGTCCTATTGACTACTAATAAATATATCCTTTTTAATGGTGACAGCTATATGCCCAAGTTTTACTTATTTGTTAGTCAAAATGAAAGAATAAAGCCATCCTGAAACTATAGTTTTCTTTTTTTAAATGATTGGGGAAGGGAGAACAACTGTAGTGGTTTGAAAATTGTTGAGAATTTCTACTTTTGTATTTCTGTCTCTGAAACAACTATTAATTCATCCATACGAGACATCTAATAATATGTCTAGAAAAGGAGGTAATTGTCTCAAAGAAGTTATGATGTTTAAAATCTTTCCTGGGTTGAAAATTGCAGTTGGGTGAAGAAATACAAACCAAACACATTAATGCTTTATTTTGAAATAATTTTCTGTATATATTATGGAAGTGAAAGATTCAGCTTTAAAGTGGGTCATAATTTGCATAAATGAGCCTTAACATTCAGAAGGAAAAAAACAACCAAGAACAATATGGACCAGATTCTGCTCAATACTAGATACATGATACTTGATACTATACTTCCCCAATAGGAGCCTGCCATAACTGCAGTAACTATCTCCAGGGGGCAGCCGAGTTAGTCTGTTACAGAAAAAAAAAATTGGTCTGGTAGCACTTTATAGACGAACAAAACATATAGATCCCCAACCTTTCGGGGCTGCTGGGCGTCTGGGGGCAGGGCCACTCACGTGCCACGGGTCTGGGGCCGGCACCGCACATGTGCTGTGTGCCCGGAGCAGGGGCCAGCTCAGATGATTCGGCAGGTGCACATAAATGCCCCAGCGGGCATCATGGCACCTGCGAGCACCATGTTGAGGGCCACTGATGTAGATGGTATCATGAGCTTTAATGGGCACAGCCCACTTCTTCAGTTGACAGGACATCTGAAGAAGTGGGCTGTGTCCACGAAACTCATGATACCATCTACGTGTTTTGTTCATCTATAAACTGCTACCAGACCTTTTTTTTCTTCTGAATTTACTGTGAGAGGGCTGATCCCTCAATAGGAAGCACAGACCAGGCCGACAGATTGAGGGGAAGAACTAGGACATGGCCAAATATAGAATAGTACAGACATGGAAGGGTTTAGCAACTTAAATTCTCACCTAGAATGATGGAAATCTTAGGAAGGGATTCTTCTTTCACAGAGAAGAATTTCTCCTATATCTTCCTCAGGGATAATGGGTTCCCATTGCCCCTTATTCTGGGCTATACATATTGTGTACATTCTAGATCTCAATATATTACAGCCTATAGCGATGTGTGCATAGATTCTTTTAAATGAATGAATATATTCTGATTGATATAAATAATTAAAATGTAGACCTGTTCATTGTTGCACAGTCATACTTCTGAATTTTGTATACATTTTTTTTCTAGCAGAAGCTTCAGTGGTTGAATTTTATAAACATGTCCTAAAAATGATCCTTTATACTCTTTGTGACAATTGGCTATCTGTTTTCCTTTGGTGTACCAGTTCCCTGTTTACTCTCTTGACATCTTTATCTCCAGTGAAAGCAAGGTATAGAAAGATAAGAAAGTTGTGTCTCTGTGAAGTTCCGCCTGTGAATTAATAGACTGTCCAAGACCTGACTGGACAGAAAATACAGGCAGGTATTGTTCTCTTTTGAGCTAGATGTGATGAGTCATTATGTCAAGAGGTGACTAAAATAATAACAATTTTTAAAAAACCTAGATGTATTGTCTTCATTAATTCTAGAAACTTTAATACACTTAAGAATTACCATAAAATCTCGAGTATAATGCGCACCTATATATAATGCGCATCTGCCTTTTAAAGGTCAAAATTCTTGAATAAACTAAATTCTTATCTATAATGCGCACCCCCATTATACTTGAGATTTTACGGTATGCATAGGAAGAAAGGGGCTCGTTCCTGCTGCTGATCCCCCTGCCCAGCTGAGCTTGCGCACGCTGAGTTCACGCCTGCTGCGGGAGCCCCCTGCCCAGCTGAGCTCCCGCCTGCCGCGGGGTCCTCCAGCCCAGCCCAGCCTGTGACTGACCCATCCCCCACCCAGCTCGTGCCTGCTGAGGGCAAGTTTAAAACTTAAAAAAAAAAAACCTCTTATAGATAATGCGCACCCCGATTTTGATGCTAAAAAAACGGGAAAAAAGTGTGCATTATATTCGAGATTTTACAGTATTGTGTCCTTCTCTGACTTCTGATTTCTTAGTAATTGGAAAAAGTACTTCACAATGTGGATAAGAGCCAAGATTTGGATGATTATCACAATTTCATTTAGGGTGAGGTGTTGATTGTGCAGATTACAGATTTCCCTATGGGTAAGACCTGAAAGTTAAAGTACAGTTTCTTAGTCCTGCAGAAATGTGGTAAATTCTACTATAGAAGCATAAAACTAGAACAGGGAACAGTCTGGCTCCAGGGAATGAAAGAGGGCTTTTCACTATTCATCAATTCAAATCTGTCCCAGGTCACTAGTGACTAAAATCCTTTCCATCTATGTGAAAATAATTGGTAGATTCAGTCTAGTAATTAGTGAATTAGTGTCTTCACAAAAACAATCACTGCAAATGGGATGCTTATTGACATTTTAATAAACAAGCTAAAAACTAGATAGACAAAAAATGAACTGCTTCTCGCCCTTAGTGGTGATTCACTTAACTAAGAATTCAGTATGCTGCACCTATTATGGAGAAAGAGGATATTATATCTGGCATATATCTGGCATCTTTCATGAATGCTGTAGAACTTCCAGTGCTGTTTACTGAACCATCTGTTAATTCAATCACTAGCATAGAGACAAAACAACCAGAATAGTTTAACCTAAATAATCAGAGGATTTCTGTACCTACTCTCCCCCTCGAAGTATTTTTATGGCATCTGAAATATATCTAATATTATAAGAGGGTTTTTTCTTTCTCTTTAGGCATTTCCTGGAAATACAAATTCTGATGGCGTGATCCGGCATGATTTGCAGCATATAGTTATAACCCGTTATATACGCATAGTTCCTCTGGACTGGAATGGAGAGGGCCAAATTGGGCTGAGAATTGAGGTCTACGGCTGTCCTTATTGTAAGTTTTGCTTAACATTTACTTTTCCCCTCTACTTTTTCTTTGTAAACACACTACTTTGGTGTCTAGCAGGGATGGGTTTGGATGCAAGCTCTCCCCCTATCAATTAAACTGAGTCTTAAATATCTTTTGGTTAAATAGATTAAGACATTCCCAAATTTGCTAATTATATTACCTACAATCTCATGAAATTTGATCTTTTTAGCTATCTCTCAAATCACTGGTTTGAGCTTCCTCTGGAGATACTATATTAGACTATCTCTACACAGCAACATTATTTCAAAATAACTGGCGTTATTTTGAAATAACATAGTTCGTATTTACACAGATAATATAAATGTAAACACAGTTATTGCAAATAATGTTGAAATACTCTCAAGGTGGAGGTCTTCTTACTCTGACTCCTGTAACCCTCATTTTATGAGGAGTCAGAGGAAGACTGCTCTATTTTGAAATAAGTGCTCTGTAGACAGCATCAAAATAAGGTATTTCGAAATAAGCTATGCAAATTGATGTAGATCAATTTGCATAGCTTATTTCAAGTTAATCCCTGCTGTGTAGACGCACTCTTAGAGACCTCAAAGGGTATGTCTACACTAGCTTGTTAGTTTGAGCTAGGTAGGGTAATTAGGGCAAGCGGAGTTGCAAATGAAGCCCAGGATTTAAATATCCCGGGCTTCATTTGCATGTTCCCGGGCGCCGCCATTTTTAAATCCTCCTTAGTCTGAACTCTGTGCCCGCGGCTACACACGGCACGGAGTACATAGTTCAAATTAAAGATCCTAATTCTAACTACCGTTACTCCTCATACTGGAAAGATACTGCTGTGAAATAATTTATTTTGTCATGCATCGGTGTTTTTTTAGCAGACTCTGATTATTATTGTATTATTGTGACCCAAACAGTTCAGGAAAAGGTATTTGGGCATGTTGAAAAATGGCTTATAAAGGCCCTGAATAAATGACTGGGGGTAAATGGCAAAATTCATTGACTGATATTATCATTAATATTAAAGAGTTATTCATTTGTGACTAACAGTCTTATCAAAGCTGTTCATATTATCCTATATTATATGTTTCATTAAAGGTAAAATAAAATACTAATTTTGTTAGAAAGCACCAGTATTAAATGCCTGATCATAAAAAGAGTCAAACAGTTGCAACTCTCATAAATGTCAACAGGAGCTACAGTTGCTCCCCACTTCAGGCTTAAATGGAAACTGTGATCCTAATCTAAGAAGCCTGGAGAAATTTCACAGTTTGGAGCAGCCATTTTATTTACCAATCTTCTTATACTGCTTTTCACCCTCCATGCCTGGCACCTGGTGTCATGTCTTCTGAAAGCAACATGTCAGGGATCTGGAGGGCCACAATCGCTCCAGATTTGTGTTGGGGTTCACACGTAAATATGACAAGCAGTAGCCTTTTGACACTGTGCAGGAGGAGAGGGATGGGAACTGCATCCAACTGAAAGGGGGTGGAGTAGGGGTAGTGATGACCTAGCCTGTATTCTTCCAGAGGTCATCTCTTCCCTTCCCTCCCCACCAGTATGGCTACATGCGGCTTGTCCATCCTTGGCCACACAGTGTAGAAAGGCAGCTAACACTTCTAGGCTGCTGCTGGCCACTGCCATAACCCATCTGCTTCCTGTTCCCTGGTGATAGCATGGGCAGGAACAGGTTAAGCTTTGAGCACAAGGGCCCAAGGAAGTTGACTACAAGAGCTTCAGTGACTATAAGAGCTTCAGCCCCTACACTGGCTGTTGCCGGCAAGAGTAAGTCTCACGTCCGACACTAGGTTCTCAAAGTACAAAAAAAGTTACATAATTAACTGTCAAACACAAGCAGTTTATTTTCTGACAGCTATTAGCTGTGCCCCTTAACTAACAGAACAACATGATAGGAAAAGCGGCATCTTACATCACTTCTGCTAACCGGAGAACCCGTTTCGACTGCGGATGAAGTGGGAGACTGTCTCAGTTTCTGAGGCGCCGGTACCCAAAGCCCATCAGTGAGGTCCAAATTGCTGTGCTCTGGTGCAGCTTTAAATATAATGTCTCTGCCTTGTTTGTGGCAGTTTGGAAATTTCTGGGGTTACTCATTGCATGTTACAGTATGGCTCAGCTGTACTGCTTGTCCTTTGACTTTGTTTACATGATCAGTACATTTAGGTAAACAAGATTGTTATGTTCCCGCCCTTACCTACAATTTGTTCTTGCTATAATGGCGTATGTTCCTAGAGGCTTGCTTCTGGCTCATCAGTAGTAGGGAAGGGCAGGGGAATGGCAAAAGGGGGGAGGGAAATGCAGTCCTCACCACCCCTATACTTCACACGAACAGAGTTCTTCCGCAATTGACCCCTACACTGGCTAAAGAGATGGTGGGGCAGGGGAAGATGCCTAGGGGACAGAGCACCCAACACACCCTGGGGGCAGGGCTTAAGGAAGGAACAGCACATGAAATGGATGCTACGTGTTCCTGCCTGGAGACCAGCATGGTCAGGGTGCAAACAGGCTGGAATAGCTTCCTCTCTACCATTCCAGAGCTTAGCTGAAGGGCAGAGAAGCTTCACCATGTCATTGCTGTGTGAGGCTTTGGCACATGCAGGACTGAGCTCCTCTTGGCCAGTGCCCGAAGCCAGAGAGTCTTGAGCTTTCCCTGGGTGCTAGCCCAGTCAGAGGCAATGTGGGGAGGAAAGAGGCTGCCAGCCAGGCTGTCAGTGAGTGGAATGATCTGACCGGGAGGATATAGAAGAACAGAGGGGCTATGAGGGGAGTGAATGGGCACAGCAGGGAAAGGGGAAGAATTTAAAAGGCCAATGGGCAACAGAGGTAGCATGTAACCAGCCACTGCAACAAGCAACCAGTGCTGGCACTGGAAACAGCATGGGGGAATGGATTGGGGAGCCTGCTGCCCAAGAGCTGGCATGTAGCAGGGGAGAGCAGATGGCTTGGCATGCTGCAGCTTTGCCTAACTACAGCCTTCCACATTCACCTTCATCATCAGCCACTGAACCCTTCTTCCACTCCCACTCACCTCTGGTGGGTGGGTGGGTGGCTGGTGAGCAAGGATCCAGCCAGCAGTAGGACCCAGCAGTACCAATGAGAGGGGACAGACAGAAAATATGGGACAACTTGGCCATTTTTAGATGTAGGGACACCTGCAGGAGGGCTTAAATATGGGAATATCCCTTTAAAAATGGGACATCTGGTCACCCTAGCTAAGTGAGCAAAATGCAGTGTCCCTTTGCTGGCCCTGTCCCTGTATTTGTGTTTTAGTGGTAATCTTTAATATGTTATTTAGTTAAAAAAATTTACCACTATTTATATTTACAGTATGTTATGAGTCCCTTCCCACAGGACCCTAAAATGCTTTTTAAGCAATATATGCAAAAGTTACTTTAACTACCAATGAAAAGCATAATTTCTGGGATGGAACTTCACTTCACTATCCTGATTTGGTCTGAGGCATTACTGGGGTTAGGAACACTATGTCTTAAATATCTGAGTACTGAGTTAGTCATCATTTCTTACAAATCAGAGGAAGTCTCCCACTCAAGGGTTGATCTAAGTAAGATCTGAAAAGATAATACCAATGGATTGTTTTGTTGATATTTAAATGGATGCAGCATTATAATTTTCATCCTGTAGCCCTGAACATATCACATATATCTTCTATATACATAGGTGACAGTATTGATAACTACATTCTCAGGACAGTTTCTGGGCAGAACAGAGGTTCTCAAACTTTTGTATTGGTGACCCATTCACACAGGAAGCCTTTGGATGCAAGCCCTCCCCCTATCAATTAAAACCATTGTTTTATAATAATCACTGTTAGAAATGCTGAGATGAGCGTGCTTTAGAGATGGAGACCGGACACCCGCTTCCCCCCAAGTAATAACCTTGCAACCTCCTGAAGGGTCACAACCCCCAGTTTGAGAATGCCTGAGATAGAAGAATGAATTGTTCATTCTTTGTTAAAAGCTGGGAGATTTATAGTCCCTCTGAATGAAGGCCAACTGGATTTTTCAATGGAAAAAAGATTTAAAAACATAGTCCTTATTGAAAACATTTGCACTACACTGAAAAACTAGAAATACTCCGTATACCATATTTAGGGCTAAGTTTTTTCTTTGCGTGATTCTTTGCATCCCACTGAAGTCAGTCTGTCCCTGTGTGAAGATATTCCAGAGAAACATATCCATAGATACATACATTTGGGGCAAAATTTCTGAGTTAAACAGGATGAATTGCCCACTGAAAAAATCTAATGTGAATCCCTCCAATGTAGGTTCTATTAGCTATACCATTAATCTGTTATGTATACTTGCAAGATTCCTATTTAGCTCTCTCACAACGTTTTCCTCCAAAGAGACTAGGGGATTAAAAGTCCTGGACAGAATTGCATTTGGCCCCTGCACCCTGTAAAACCTAGCAACAGCATCAAGCCTGGAGGGAGGCACTTCCTCTCTAAAGGAAAAATGAAGGAGAAAATGTGGGGGAGAAGGAAACAAGTTTGATAGCTGGGCTTCCCTAAGAGAGTTTTCTTGGGTTTAGTGCAGAGAAATCTGGTGATGTGGGTTTGGAAGCCTCCAGTTAAGAATGTTACGAGTAGCCTCACATTAAAGGCATGGTACACAGTGGGCTTCACGTTGTCAAATGTTCACCTGTTGGATAAGTTTAACACCAAGACAGCTGAAATTGATCCTGCACAGGTGTGTGAGAACTGTGTCTTATAGAAGGTGGGAAAGTTAATTGGTTGTGTTAGTGGAGCAGATGGAGTAGGAGGAAAAAAGATGCTTGAAATAACCTCAGCAAAGAGAAAAATCACATAAGTGTGGAACTGCTGCTTTTGTAGTCAATGAGAGTTATAACATTTATTTTCAAAGTGTACTTTAGGAAGTGCTATATCTTACTAGGAGACAACCATTTCATCTTCAGTAGGGTTACAGGGAGGCCTTTTCACTGGCAGTTACATCCTTTGTTAACAAAGCAGTGTT